GTACTATAGAATATTCCAGAATGTGTCAGAATTATTGAGAAAGAACTATAGAATGTCATGGAATGTCATAGAATGAGTTAGTAAGAAAGATGACTCAGTATGAGTCATAGCAGACATGACTCATTATGACTCATTGTGACTCATTGTGACTCATTGTGACTCATCTGTTTGGTTACCAATCCAAAGTTGTTTATTTGTATTGTCAACTTGTTTGGTACCACAGCTTTAAGTACACAAATACAAATGAAGTGGCATGGCATATGTTTGTCATAGGGGTAAATAAAGTAAAGAATTATGGAAAGGATAAAGGGTACGTTAAGTATTTAATTTGAACCGCTAAGTCGTATCTTGGTGATACATACATGCTCAGAAATGTCCAAAGTAAATTGAAGTAAGGTATAGAAAATTCAGGGGAAGTGCATAGACTATAGTAAGGAGTTACATGTATCATAAATTTGCCATGACCATGTACGAAACAGGTTTCGTGCGTGTCAGCAGTAACTATCCGAGACTCAACCCTCCCTCCTTTTGTCGAACAGTTAGCTGAATCCTTTGCCGGGTATGCGGTATATGGTATGATGGACTTATATTCAGGTTACGACCAGTGCGCGCTACATGAGGAATCACGTGACCTCACTTCCTTTGGAATGCCATTGGGCCCGCATCGGTTGACAACACTTCTGCAAGGTCATGCTAACGCGGTACAAGTATACCAAGGTGATACCGCTTTCATTCTGCAGGACAAAATTCCAGAGTTCACATCGCCATTTATTGATGATGTACCTGTCAAGTTGGTTAAAACGCGGTATCAAAGAGCTGACGGCTCATACGAAACCATAGCGCTAAACCAGGGCATATGTCGCTTCATATGGGAGCATTGTGTGGTCATCAACTGCATACTCCAGCGACTTGAGAATGTTGGTGTAACCATATCCACTACTAAGTTTGTTCTAGCCACTCCTACCGCTGTCATAGTCGGACACAAGTGTACCTTCGAAGGGCGAGTGCCGGAAGATTCCAAAGTGCAAAAGATCTGCGATTGGCCGGAATGTCATACCGTCACGCAAGTGCGGGGCTTTCTAGGTACTTGCGGAGTCTTACGCATCTTCATTCAGGACTTCTCCAAGATCGTGGAACCCCTTACCAATCTTACCCGCAAAGACGTACCCTTCGAATGGGGTGAAGACCAACAGGTAGCTATGCAGACTCTGAAGGACTCAATATTAGAATCTCCCGCACTCCTTCCACTTGATTATGAGTGCGGTCGCGAAGTTATCCTTGCTGTTGACACCTCTTGCATCGCTGTAGGGTTTATCCTCCTTCAAGTCAGGGAAGATGGCAAGCGCTATCCAAACCGCTTCGGATCCATATCCCTCACGGAAGTCGAAAGTCACTACTCTCAAGCGAAACTTGAGCTTTATGGCCTATTTCGTGCGCTTCGCGCAGTTCACGTTTTATCTTCAGTGTCGCCAACCTTACGGTTGAGGTCGATGCGAAGTATATTAAAGGAATGATCAATAACCCTGACCTTCAGCCTAATGCGACCATCAATCAGTGGATCGCAGGTATATTGTTATTTTCTTTCGCGCTTGTTCACGTACCCGCTACCAAGCATACTGGAGCAGACAGACTCTCAAGGAGACCACCCACTGAGGAAGATCCTGACGAGGATGATGATCACAAGGATTGGCTTGACTGCTCATATTCTTTTGGCATCGAAATTCTGAATGATCGTAGTTGTGCTATCACAGGTGCAGGAGCTGATATCATGTGATACCCATATGCCGCACCCTGTACCTTACCCGCTGACCTGTTTACCTGCCCTCATTGCATACCTAAACACCCTAGAACCCGATTCCGCAAGTCTAACCATACCCTGCTCAGAAAATGCACAAGCGCTTGACGCCAGATTAATCGAGATCCAATGCTTTTTAGAGACCCGCAAGCGACCCACAGACCTATCGGATGACGACTACAAGTCATTTGTCTCATCCGCTGCACGGTACTTCATCCTCGACAAGAAATTGTGGAGACACAACTCTCAAGGAAAGCACCAGCTAGTAGTTCTCGAATCGCAACATTTTTGCATCTTAAAGGAAGCACATGACGACCTTGGACATAAGGGAGTATATTCAATTCGAGCCCGACTTCTCTTACGCTTCTGGCGGCCTATGATTATTGATGACATCAAATAGTACAATAGGACATGTCATGAATGCCAAGTCAGGCAAAGTTGCAAGTTGCACATTCCTCCGACTGTCCCGATCCCAGGCGGTATTTTCAGGAGAGTGCATATTGATTGTATGATGATGCCTAAAGCAGGCGGATTCGACCGACTAGTCCATGCACGTTGCGCGCTAACCGGATATCCAGAATGGCGCATGTTACGCAAGGAGAATACCAAAACCCTTGTCGCATTCTTATTCGAGGAACTTCTTTGCAGATGGGGACCTATTACCAAAATCATTACCGACAATGGACCTGCGTTCCGTGCAGCAGCTGATGAACTTGCAGCCCGCTATGGAATTCACCCGATCCATGTCTCAGCGTACAACTCTCAAGCTAATGGTATTGTTGAGCGACATCACTATGATGTCCGGGAGGCCATCATGAAAAGTTGCGATGGGGATGAGGCGCACTGGTATCAGTCCGCGCACTCAGTACTTTGGGCAGAACACATCACTGTTCATCAAGCGACAGGACTTACGCCTTATTTCATGGTTCATGGCGTCGAGCCTATCTTTCCGTTTGACCTTGCTGAAGGAACATTTCTAGTAGTGCTACCTGACCAAGACACCTTTTCAACGATGGATCTAGTCGCATGGAGAGCCCGACAACTGCAGAAGTGACAAGAAGACCTCAACAATATCAAGGAGAAAGTACTCAAGGCACGCTATCAGTCTATCTGCAACTTTGAGCAGCGCTATCGTCGCTCGATCATAGATTACGACTTCGCGCCTGGCGCACTCGTTCTAGTCCACAACTCTAAGGTTGAGTACAAGCTAAGTCACAAGATGAAGCCACGCTATCTAGGTCCTATGATAGTCATCCACTGCACTAAGGGCGGGTCATACATCCTTGTGGAACTAGATGGTTCTGTGTCCCGACTGCACTATGCAGCATTCTGCCTACTCCCTTATCTTCTGTGCAGCGAAACTAAAGTCTCAGTTACTAGCATCACAGGTCTAGACAATGAAGCACTGAATACTCTAGCAAGTGAAGACATAGAAGAACCACCCGACGAAGTGCTCGATTTCGACTTCGATGCATGAACCGCCAGCACTCCTCAAACACCGCCAATAGACCCATTCCCGACATCTGCTTTCTCTCATAAAAACAAAAACACAAAAACAATACCGCTCTTAGTACGATAGTCTCAGTTCCACCCCTGGGTTTAGTCTGGTGTCTCAGTTTCATTCTTCTGCTCTCAAAGGACTCACATATGTTGCGCGCCATCCGCGCATAGACTTTATATTGCAACACAGACATTACAAAGGATTGGACTATTTCATGCGAAAGATCAATTACCATACATTTTCTCTTTGAACGCATAGGCAGCGCACCACGCACATTGACATGGTTTAGGGATTAAGTTGTGCACAAATAGCGACAGGAGGAATAGACAAGGAAGCGCAACAAAGAAGCCAAGTCAGGTGGTATCCCACCAATTGACCCGACTGCGACTAGTATCATTCACCTTCTTCTGCATCGCGACCGCGTGCTCATTTTACCTTACTTGTCTCTTAGGCACCCAGTGGAGTTAGGATCGGCACATTGGATTTGGACATGGGACATAGGATTCAAGATTACCTGGACCAAGACATGCGATCACTCAGGATATTCATGCGACCGACATTCCAATTCATGCGCTATTTAATTCCAGTCTACATTGTACACTAGCGCTAACAAAGTCCAAACATGCGACCTAGGGAACCCTATCTACCGAAGCCTCCTCCTCTTCTTACAGCGCACCACCAAGGAATCCACCTCCGTCATCATTTCCATAAGCATCCCCTGCATAGTCAGCATCTTGGTGTATAGCGCCCGCACCTTGCCTTCCAGATAGATGTCTTCGTTGTCGGCATCAGCATCTGCCAAGAGGTTGAACTCAACCTCCCGACTCTCTGGCGACTTCCGCTTTTGCGAGTCCTCTACCGACTCTTCCTCTTCCTCCTCCTCTTCTTCCTCCTCCTCATCTTCAGAGTTGGCAGTAGTCCCATCCTCTGGAGTCTCCCTAGGATGGCGGATAAGGACACCCCGCTGTAGAGACTCGATCCTGAGTAGCCTCACAATGGCATATATTGCACTGTAGGTCGAGTCTACAATACTATGTATGCAACGCGACACTAGCGCGATAAACGCGACGTTCGCGCGACGCACGCGACTTAGGCGACACTTCCGCGACATAGGCGACACTTGCGCGACTTGCGCGCGCTTTAGGCGAATTTTCCCGCGCCTAAGCGCTATAGGGCGCCTGACTTCCCACTGTGTTTTCCCATGTCCAATCAAGTTCCCAGGTATGCATTTCTCCATTTATCATTTATTTCAACATCGTACCATGTTTATTTTCACTTGGTACACATTTTTCATTACACATTTTTTTTACTTTACAGAACACACATTACCACAGACCACCATCATCATAGACAGTCACCATCTCCGAGTTTTTATTATGTTTTGAATAAATCATCGCAAGCCCTAGTAGCAGTTAGCTCTAGTGGCCATATCCACATCAGTTGTCTTATCAGCGTCTCAGTACACGTCTTAACATCTCACTATCGCTCGCATACCGCTTTCACCCAGTTCCGCTTTTCGACGCGCGACTATCCCGCACTTCGCGCGCCTATAGCGCCTTTGTTCCCGCGCTTTCCGCCTTATCACGAGCTTTGCGCATTCCCCCTAGAGTTGACCAGTGGATATTTGCTTTCTCCGCTTCCCCTAAGGGATGAACATATCGCACTCATATTTTCCTCCCTTCAACAATTATATCAGCTGCACCCTCAGCTGAGTTGAAGATCCTTCACCGCCCCGCAGAGGAACTTGGAGTGGGAGCAGAGGGCGCCTTTTACCGCTGCCTTTGCGCAACAGCGCATGCAGCAGCCCTTCTCCTTTGCGACTGCGACAAGTATCAGTAAAGTTGCGACCCTACAAGCCGGGACCACTTACCTCCATGCCTATGAGTAGAGTACTCGCATTTCTTGCAAGCATCCTTGCACAGCTCACAGGAATTTCCTGGCTTGCCAACGCAAGGCTTCTTGGCCTTTACGCATCGAGCGCAAGGGACAGGATGCACAACAGGCACAACAGCGCGTGGGGTCTTCTAGAAACCGAAGTCAGGATGCCAAAGGCAAGGTAACCGATCCCACTTACCAATGGCTTCCTCCTACCCGCCACAGCGCCAACAGTTGCAGCGTGTTTAGTGACCAACAGAGGACGAACATCCACCTCCTCTTCATCCAACTCCCCTTCCGCTCAGCGTCGGCATCCGCGTCGCCCATGGCCTCATCTGTCTCGCCCGACTGTCTCCTTCTCTTTCTCTTTCTCCTTCTCTAACTCCATCTCCTGCTCCTTACTCTACTCCCGCTCAAGCGCCGCCTGCTCGTCCACAAGTCGCTGGACCTCCACCTTGTAGGCATGGACTTGACCAGAGTATAGTTTGTTGGCCTCTTCCACCTTGCGACCAAATGCGACCTCATCCGATGAGAGCGGAAGGTTCATGTTATATGTCTTGCAGTTTAGCGCATTGTCGCTAAGTTCCTGCTGTAAAGAGAGTTAGAAATCAAGAAAAGAGCTAAGTCGGAAATGGGAACTCACCACAAGCTTAGTCCAGTCACGGACCCACTCTTCCTTTCGCTGGATCAATTCAGGGCAGTGAAGAGATAAAAGGCTGCTGCCAGTGCAAGACAGGAGAGCAGGGGCAGTATGAGCCCAAAGGACTTCTGACTAGGCTAAGCTCAAGAGAGAGTGAGAGAGAGAGAGAGTGTGTGTGTGTGTGTGTGTGAGAGAGAGAGAGAGAGAGAGAGAAAGGGTATGAAAATGTCACTCCAGACAATGAGGCAAGACTGTGTATCAGGAGCTTTATAGTGAGCTATTGAGCTACTACTAAAACTAATAAGCTGCAAGTCTGGGGAAGCTACTGAATCCTAGAAGGAGAGCTACCAGAAATATAACTGAAAGTCCAGCTAGTGAGTGGAAGTGTAGGGCGAAGATTTGATGCTTATGTAAGCAGTAAAAATGCGAACATAAACAAGGGAAAGTAAGAGTAAGTAAGGCTAAGTAAAAGTGTCAGTCTGCACCCAGAGAGAATCCAATCCCTACAGTGGTCCTCGGGGATAGCCTCGACCAGGTGCACTAGTTTAAGTCTGAGGTCAGCAAAGGCACATTGCAGTTTGTCGACGTTGGGGTTAATGACTTCTGAGAAGGTGAATGAAGACATGATTGAAAGTATGAGATGAAGGAGCGGATGAAGGAAAGGTCGGAGGGTTCTTATAGGGAATTGCGATCCAGCCCACACTTCCATTGACCCCGACCCACTCTTCGCGACCACCGCATGCCTATTATTCCTTGCATTGTTCTAGTCCACCAATCACGACCACCGTGTGTTTACACTTCCACCCACTGTTCCGGCTTATTGATTGTGTCCACCGCTTCTATCAAATTTCCGCACCCCGATCATCACTTCCATATCAGGTCGCCATTGATCATGTGCCCTTATCAATGGACAAAAATTTTGCTAAGTCCAAGTCGCGACATGAGACCAACTGGGGACAGTTGGTATTCGAGTCTCCCGCAGATGTGACAATCATACCAGTGCTAGGTGCATATGAGTGTCATAGGCATATTTTGCCTTGTCTAGAGGAAAAGAGTAAGGCGCTAGTCACCAGCGCTATTCAGCTCCCAAGCTATCGCTTTGGAACCACTTTCTTTACAGCACGCTACCCGGTCCGACGCCTAGGTATTCCATCCTCCCATGTCCTGCCTATGTCCACCTACCTCTGCTGGTGCATTATTTTCCTTAAATGTCGCTACTCATCAGTCGCAGGTCTTATTACATGTATCCTTGTGTTCTGCAGCGCTGCATGTTTTATTACCTGTCGCTAATCATGTCCTCGCCAGTGTCGCTACTATACTTGCCTACACAATTCCAAACTCTTACGCAGTATGATAAAATGACCCGTCGCACATACAGTACAGTACTTCCCTTCCCTGGACCTTGCTGGTGTTGGAGTCACTTTAGTCGCTATATCCTAGTCTTGGTGCAATCGATTCCACTCTTGCCAATCTCTTTGATCGTGTGGTGAAAGAAAATAGTAGTCAGCTGGGTATACCAACTAACTTGCTAAATCCTAATGGGTGCGATGTAGAGACTGCTTTCTGTGGGCTCATATGGGCTCATTTTACAAATTCTGACAACTGGCCTTCATGGCCAACTTGCACTATCATCCACTATGACTTCCCTATAGAGCACACCACTTTCCCGCAAAAACACACCATAGGCGCGCTACTTTCCCACACTATGCGCAGCATTCCCGCATGCGCGCCTTGCGCGCTTTCTCGCGCTTAAGCGCACTACGTCACACAGCATCCAGGAGCATCCATCCATCATCCAACCAGTCCCTTGGTATGTATGTCCCTTTTCATTATCTGACCATATTTGGCATATTACACTTCCCATTTCATTATGCACCCTTATTTTACATCACTTTACCTCACTTACATACTTAGAGTGCTCCCTATTCGGCTCCGAGCCCTGGGAGAGCACTTAGGTAAAACTTACATACCTTCATGTTCGTTTTACACCCAACTTTTGGACCTTAGCTTCTTACCATTTTCCACCTTAGCTTCCTACCACTCAGTATCTATCACCAGTTAGTTCCATGCAATGCATGTGTCCATCATCGTCTTGAGGCCCTAGCATCAGTCTATAGCTAGTGGCACTATCAGTATCCGTCAAGATCCGCACTTTTCCTCTTATCAGTCTCAGTATATATCTTTTACACCTGTGCACCGCTTGCACTACCTTCCCGTGCTCCGCGCACTTTCGCACTTCGCTTTCCTGCGCGCGCCTTCAGTGCATTTCTCGCGCTTCCACCACCATTCACCAGGGTTGTTCAGCATCATTCCGTGGATCCTTGCTTTCCTTGCTTCTCCTTTAGGGTCGAACGTTCTTGCATTCTGCGAGTATAGCAGCTAGGCAGAGCTGAGACTCACTTATACTGGTTGAGCACTTTTCTTATATGTGCCTGCCAGGTTGTGATCGCCACAGCGAGTGCAGTACTTCGACCCAAGGGGACTGCTATTGAAGCACTTCCTTCTAATAGTGCGAGGGAAGAGAAAGGAAGAAACTAAGATCTAAGACCTGAGATATCCAACCGACCAAGGTCCGAGTCCGAGAATGTCTGACGCAACATGAGATACCGATGAAGGGCACTGACGTGAGATAGATACCGATGAAAGACACCGATGCAAGATATCGATGCGAGGTGAGGAGTCCAATGCCGATGAGCAGCAGGTAAGTCTAGGCCAAGGTAAGGAGAGCCCAGGTATAACTAGGTATGACGAGGTAAGACTAGGTATGGGTTGCCGACGTAAGACTACCGGTAGCGGTCCGGATCTCACAAGGCCTAGATATAGAAACCTTAGATAGAGTGCACTTAGAGCAGTCAAGGCACGTCCGATGATAAAGGCAAAGGGGATCAATTGCACAATCAAAGACTAACTAAGGTGACTCCTACAACAGTACCAGGAATGTCCAAGGAAGGGAAGTAGTGGATAATACGAACTTGAGTCCTATTTATCTAACTGCGTGAACGTCCGGAATCGCACAGGCAAGAGTAGTAGCGAAACACGAGGTACTCGGGTCGATATGTAATAAGGCTCACGAGTGCTGCGGCCATGGGAATACATGTAATAATGCCTGCTGTTCGTTCAGTAATAGTAAAATAAGCTTAAAACGCACCAATGGAGATAGGTGGACATGGGTAGGACATGGGAGGATTTGGTACCGATGGGACGGAACGGTCGGCCAAGGTGCGTGATGGCCGATCCAACAAGCAAGGGACGGTTAAGACAACCCTGGCTCTTCTGCGAGAGACCGAGACCACAGATCTGTATCGGCCAAGTCGGACATAGACCGGCGCGACATAGGTGAGTCGAGTGAGTTGAGACTTTGCAAGAAAGTGGTGTATGGATGTGATGTGGATATCTAGGCTGCTTGACTCCTATAGCGAAATGGGGTTCTGCGAGGCTAGCCCGAGCTTGAACACCACAGTGTGTCGCTTGACTTGCTTTAAGTGCACATCGCTAAAGTTTCCCTCTTAAGTTTGACTTTCGCAACGTTGGGATCGCTATCGGTAGTTGAGCTATAATCTAGTCGCTATCGGGCATTTCACTTGCACTGTCTTACCTTACTCCTCGCTTTCACTCCTTTTGATTTCTACTCGCTGTCGCTAGTTGGATGTCGCATAGCGCTATCGCATAAAACAGCTTGGATAGCGCTTCTCACTTATACGCACATTTCTCTGTCGGAACTCACTTGTCGCTGATCGCTATAGCGCTACTTATTGGTTTTTGGTCTTAGGTCACTATAGGTTATTAGTCCTTCGCGCTATCACTTCCCTTGCATATTAGTAGGGAGTTGCTTCAATAGCAGTCCTCTTGGATCGAATACTACACTCACGCCTATTGGGATAAGTAGCGCTAGTTTCTAACTGGCCTAGTCGCTATTTCTCTTTCACAACAATCTCCTACTGAGTCCTATTTAACTAGCTATGTGAAAGTCTGGAGTACTGTAGGCAAAAGTAGTAGCACATCATCGTGGCTGACAAAATATGTAAAAGGCCATGAGGTGCTGTGGCCAGTGGGAATACATGTAATAGCGCTGTCTACTGCATCAGTAATAAGAAAATAAATGACTACACACCTAGTGGGGTAAAGCATGACTGGACAGGACATAGGTAGGATGAGTCCACAGGGTATCTGAGCAGGTCTGATCATCGGGTTGCATTGGGGTTGTCGGGTTGCATTGGGGTTGTCGGGTTGCATTGGGGTTGTCGGGTTGCATTGGGGATGACTAGGGGTGAGTCAGACAACATGGGGTATGGACGCAAATTGCATAGTGGCTTCATACAAGCCCAGTTGAAATATGATTGTCACACCAGCAAAGAATATCTTCAAATAAAAATGCACCTAGTGTCCTCCCAGTTTCTCTCCTCAACATTCTAAATTCGGGCCAAGTAGCCTAGTCAATGAGCATTGTGCTTGAATGATGTAGGAAAATCCATGGGCTGCAGGCAATACATAGAGTCAGTGAAAACTTTTTGGAAGAGAGTTGCAGGAATCAGGATGTTGGGAGGAAGGACAACTTTTTTGACAGAACAAGTTTGACATTGGTGACAGGTCTTAAGGTACCAGGAGACGTCCTTGTCAAGGGAGGGCCACCAGAAGCGATCTGCAATTGTCCGTTGAGTATGGTAAAAGCCTTTATGGCTGAGCTTGTCATGAACATCATGAAGGATGTAAGCTTGTTCTGGAGCAAAGATTATCAATTGGTGGCATCCTCCTGCCTCTTTTCGCCATAAACACTTTCGTTGAATGAAAAACTGATGTGCCCGTTTGGCAAGACAGATATGATCTTTGCTGGAAGTTGAGGAATGGAAGGAGAGTGTGTCCAGGTAAGTATGAATGGCAAGAAGTTCATTATTGAGGCATGTCAAGAT